TTCCAAATCTCATTTCATAGCAGAATGAGGATCGAATCCCTTTCCCTGTATATAAGCGCCCACTTATAATGCACACTTCCGGAGGACCTGATTTGCGGGAATTGCTGCCAAGACAAGCCTTTAGTTGCGCAAGATCAAGTGTACTTGTGGGCAATGAGGGAATGGTTCAAGCCCTGTCGCAGAGTCCAGACCCAGGACTATGTTGAACAGGGTTTAGGTTGGTGTTAATATGCAAACTAACACGGAACCCCAGGTAGCCAAAAAGCACCATGGAATTCCCCACAGCCCCCCCTAGGCGACCCTTACACAGGATAGACCCCCGGAGAAGGACCCCTGGGTTCTAAGATGGTCTGTCAGGCCTTGGGGGGTCCTTGGAAGTCTAGGGTTGGCGGCTTAGTGTTTAGGATCAGGGTTTTTGCAAGCATTTCGGGGTTATAAGGTCCGCAATCTTTACAAGGCTCTTTTGAAAATTTTCACGTTGCTTTGAGGGAGGGTCTTGGAGATTCATGAGTAGCTAGTTGTAAGAATACTTTAGGGACTGTGTAGGGATATACAGATACACAGGTAGATTCCCAGAATTAGAGGACCCAAATAGATACCCCCAAAGTTTAGGGTTAGGGCTTAGGGTTTAGGGCAGGTTAGGGGTTGAGGGTTTGAGGATGTAAGCCCTAAACCCTAAACCCTAAGAGGGAGGAGTAAGGTATGTAGGAATTTGGGTGTTTGAAATTGTATAATTTTAGGATTCAGGGCCTCCCAGCCACCAAGACCCTAGACTCTGCAACCTCAAAGACCCCAACCGCCAAACCGTAACTCCTAGATCCCAAACCTTCAAGGTTTAGGGTTTGGGGTTTAGGGTCAGCCCTAAGCCCCTAAGCCCCAAGCCCTGAAGCATGCAAGCCACCCAGCATATCCGAAGAATGCGCCAAGCTCGTCCCTGGTCGCCATGGCTCACCCGCCAGCTTTGGACAGGCGCGCGCGCGCAGCCGTTTTACTGCTTTCCCCTTGGAAAGCTACTGATGATAGGATCGGGAACACTGGAAGGAACGTAAGTCCCAGTCTTAGGCGCGGAGTCGAAGGTACAGTACAAAACCTATCCTTTGCAAGCTCTGAAGAACCTCCTCAAAATGCCTATATATATATACACATACATATTTGTCATGTTCTAGTCCATGAGTGATGACTCTATACATTATGTTCTGCTCCGTGGGTGGCGAGACGATGGAATTTGGGGGTTCGGCTGCAGCAAAAGGTCCCCTGGCTCAGCCTCCAAAAGCTGAAGCCCAAAGACCTCAACATACGGGGTTTAGCTTTAGGGTTTAGGGTTTAGGGTTTAGGGGGCATGGGCTTCACGTGTTAGAATACGGTTGAGGGTGTAGGGCTTGGGCTTTCGGTTTTTGAGAATAAGGCTTAAGAAACAGGATTCGGGTTTTAGGGCCTGGATAGTTCGAACTGTGGAGAAACAAATCGACAGAAAGTGACAATGAAATGGAAGCTGGCTTTTAAAAGTGGAGGTTACAGGGATAGTATGTGGGGGCCTATACAATTAGAATAGTGTTCGGGGGCATATGATACTATGGTTCAATGAGGTTTACAAGAAGGTAAGACTACAAATCATCCAGGCGTTCCCTCAGCCCGAAACCCTAGAACCTAAGCCCTAGACCCTAGACCCTAAACCCTAAACGTTCCGGCCCTGAAGCTGATCGCGTCCTCCTTTATCTGGTTCCTGCTTGGGACCAGGCTGAATAGGGTGAAGCGTCTGGGGTTTAGGGTTTAGGGTCGGGGGTTTAGGGCTCAGGGTTTAGGGTAACAGGTCTGGGGTTTAGGGCTTAGGGTCAAATCAATGCCAGGCAAACCTTTGGGAGTCATCGTCTTCGGACGGATGCCTGCCGGAGCACCGCGGCAAGGGTTGATTTTTTCCAGGAGGAACGTCACTCACAAGAAATCATCTTCGCCTAAACATGACAACCCTTGGCTCCCTATAGTGAGCAGTCCATACAAGACCATAGTTAATTCCTGAACCCTAAACCCTGAAGGCTATACCCTGTTGTTCGTGCGGCAAGAGGGGCCTATTCCTCAAGGAGTAAGTACACACATCTTTGGCATTTCATTGCCGAAGGTCTGCTGCGGGTTAGTATAGGGGATATGTTGGTGTGTGTAGAGGTATGTACAGTTAATGGAAAGAAAATGGAAACTACTGAATTCTTTAGGGCTTAGGATTTTGTTCGTCTACGTACGGATTATATACGGATAATGGAAGACAACGTGGAAACTACTGAATTATGATAGGGAAGATGCTGGGATTGGAAAAGGTTACCTTCCTATTTCAAGTCCCCCTATGAACTTAATGAGATGAGAGCTGGCTTAGCATAATTCTGGCAACGTTGCTTCCCGTGTGGTACATGGGCCCTAACAAGGATAGCGGCTTACTGCAAATCGGGGATCCTCGAATCTTCCTTTACATGTCTGTTCAAATGCAAATTCATGAGCCATTTTCAGGTTCCTATTTGACCCTTTCTTTTCATTTAAAGTCTCCAATGGACATGCCCGGTAAACGTACACTCAGCAGTATCCCCCAAGAGCACTTGCCAAAGACCATAACTAAACTATACCTCGTATATCCTTCAAAAAGTAGCGGCCCAACAAGTCTTTGTGGAAAAGCTTCGCAACACCTTTCAACCCTGACCCCGAAGCCCCTTTGTAGTCGACAAGAGCCCCAAACTGTGAACCCCGAGACCTTGCCCCCCTGCCACCCCTATACACGCCAAAAAAAACGGATGCACTGTCAGTAAAGATAATGGTGAAAATCGCACTAGAATTGCAACCCCTCCACACCGTAAAAAAAAAAATGGCCCTTGCCCCTAAACCCTCAATCCCAACACCCGTTCACCTTATTTTCGTACACATCAAACTAAACCCAAACCTTTAAATCTCAAACCCAAACCCTTACACCCCTTCATCCTACACCCCTACTCCCTTCCGCCCCCACAACCCTAAACCCTACACCATAAACCCTCTACCCCGGGCCTGCAAGGGGGGACTCAAAGCTGGGGGGCTTCAGAAAGTTGACGATCACGGTCTTTCGGTCCTGAGGATGCTCCAAGGGTTTAGGGTTCAGGGT